CAATGCTAAATCTTTTTTTTTTTTTTTTTTGGTTTTTCGAGACAGGGTTTCTCTGGGTAGTTTTGGAGCCTATCCTGGCACTCGCTCTGGAGACCAGGCTGGCCTCAACTCACAGAGATCCGCCTGCCTCTGCCTTCTGAGTGCTGGGATTAAAGCTGTGCGCCACCAATGCTCGGCTCAATGCTGAATCTTAACCAAAGGGTATATGGTATGCTGGATAAGCTATAAGCTCTGCCCCTGATCTGTGTACCCAACCCTTCTTTCTTTGAGGCATGGTATTACCATGTAGCCTAGGCTGGCTTCAGACATAGCTTCCAGAGTGCCGGGATGACAGGCTCAGAACTGGATCTCATTTAAGAGACATCCCTACTCACCTTTTTCAGGCCCACAAACTCGTTCTCGGCAGCGGCACGCTTGTTAATTTCATCTTCGTACCTGCAAGGATGAGGACAAGGGGGTGTGAGATTGAGCAAGGCTCCCACTTAACTTCTCCCGACCTTCCTTCCTTTCCAGCTCTTTGGTGACCTGCACATGACTTTGGATGATTCATTTAACCTCTATTTCTTCCTCTATAAAAGGCAGATAATTTCTTCTGCCAGTTTTAAATAAAACTTTCGTAAGATTAGAAGGTGACCAATGACTTATGGGAATAGAATCATGCCCTTAGTCAACTCCATTTCTTTGTAGATACAGAGTCCTAATCACCTAAAATATATGCTGCCTCAGTAGTGCCTGCTGAACCTGCACAGAAAACTTTATTTGTTCAGGACAGTCTCTCAGGTATTTTTTGAAATATTTTCCCTGGGCCTCAGGGTGATCACTGAGCAGTGTACTTTTGTGATTAAGTAGAGCTCAAGCTAGCTAATGGACTTGCTAAATGCCTTTACACTGTAGCCCAGACGATAAACAGTGTTCACGAGGAACATTCCACGAGGAAGATGAGAACCGCTCCTTCTGCCTAGTTATCTTCTTTCACCTGGGCTCATGCCATCTGGGAAATTCAAGCCATCTCAGTCCCTGGGCTCACATCCAGTGGATATAAGCAGCATGCTGGATGGAGGTGAAGCAATGCTGTTTACCAGAATGAGTGCCAGTGTTTCTTTCGTCAGATGATGCTGGTGCCCATTTCAGTTGTGTAGACAGATAAGAACAGGCCCCTTGTGTTTGTTAGCCGTGAGGCGGAGACAGAGGTCCCTTGCTACCCTGAGTGTGCCGTCTTTGTCTTCTGCTGCACACCCAGCGATCCTAGCTCACGTGGCATTCACCTCTTTGCACTTCTCTAGACCTCCGAGGATGGCTCTAGACACCCGGGGATGGCTGTGTGTAGTCAGGTCTTCTACTCACCTGACTTTGAAGTCTTCGACAACCTCTTGCATGCTCCTCAGTTCAGCATCTAGCCTGCCTCTTTCTGCAGTGACGCCATCCAGCTGCCGGCGGAGGTCATTGAGATATGCATCGAAGAAGGGCTCCAGGTTCTGTCTGACAGTCCTGGAGCCCTGCTCCTGTAGGAGGTTCCACTTGGTCTCCAGGACCTTGTTCTGCTGTTCCAGAAAGCGCACCTACAGGGGAGCAGAGAGAATGAGCCTCACTTGAGAAACCAGGGAGGCAGAACCACACACTCCAGCTAACAGTGGAGACAAGAACAAAGGGCTTTTACCCCAAGCTCAACCAGCAGTTGACAACTCCACTCCCAAATGATAAAGCCCCTGGAGACATGCAAGGACTCTAGGATTTCCCTGGACTGGACATGGGGGAGAGCATAGCCTCTATGGTGAGGGTCACAGACTCTGGGGTGAGTTTCTCAATGCTGCTTCTCTGGGTCAGGGTGGAAGCCCTCCTCGAGGGTTATCCCAGAGAGGACAAGTAGGGGGCATCTCTACAAGGTCCTGTGGGCCAGCTGGCCTGGATTGAAAACGTCTCTGTCCATGGCTGGTACTGGTTGATGAGTGTTCTTCTCCTGGGGACCCTGTATTGTGCTGCCTCCAGAGCTCAGCCTTCTCCACCTAGTCACTCCGTGCACTGGTAACTTGAGGGGTTGAGCACAGGTCCTACCTTGTCAATGAAGGAGGCAAACTTGTTGTTGAGGGTCTTGATCTGCTCCCGCTCCTCTTTCCGCACCCGCTGGATGGTGGGGTCGATTTGCAGGTTGAGGGGAGTCAGGAGGCTCTGGTTGACAGTGACTTCTTGAATCCCTCCAGAGGGACAGACAGGGAAGCCAGGGCCACCAAAGGCCCCTCCAATGCCACCACCATAACCAAAGCCACTACTGACCCCAAACCCACTGCTAGCCCTGCCACCAAAGCTGCTCCGGAAGCCACTGCCAGCACACCCACCAATGGAGACCCGCTTGGTCCCCCCAAGGTTGTAGAGGCTGCGGCTTCCAAAGCCAGCACCAGCACCAGCACCACTGATCCTGCCCAGTCCCCCACTGTTTCCTGAGGAGCGGGCCACAGAGACAGAGCTGAAGCGTGAGCGGCCAGCAGTTGGGGTGGTGGCAGAGGCTGTGCTGAAGCCCCTGCGGCTGCCAGAGTGAAAGGTGATGGTGGACTGCCGAGACATGGCGATGAAGAAGGCAGGTGGCAGGAGCTCCTGAGGTAGATGCGTGAAGGGGATGGATAGAGAAGCCAGGCAGCTAGGGAGGTGCAGGCCCTTGGGCTTTTATACCTCTATAAAGGGCGGGGCTTGATTAATGAAGGGGGCACTGCTGATGGCATCCCCTAGGCATCTGCCAACCCTGAGCTCACCCTGAGTACCCCTGCAGGAAATGACATTAAAAAAAAATAAAAAACACTGGTTGGTTTGCTGCGTCCCCTCCCCCACATGGAAACTTCTTACTAGTTGTAACTTGATCAGCAGACCAGTGAGAAGCAACTTAATTGCTTTTCAGTCATGTCCTAATCATGCATCTCCTAATGGACTCAAAAACACTGCCTCATTTCTGAACCGCTGTCTTAGGCCCGAGACCAACTCCCTTCAGTCCAAACATCTTGTATCAACACAAGGGCGGGCAACAACACTGTTTCCCATTCCTCTGTGTGCGTCTTGTGCCTGAGTGTTTTCTCAGCACCTATTGCCGGCTTTCCCCAACCCCATCAAGCTGGTCCTCCTGGTCAGCATTCATCTTCCTTAAGCTTGCAACAGCATTGATTGCCCTTTAATTTTGCTTGAAACCATCCATGTTTTCTGGGTGACACATGCAACTTCCTGGAGCATGTATGTTGGTATGCACATGCCTGTATGCTATGTTTGTGCCAATATTTGACTTTGAAGGCCATTTGGAGTTCTGTCTTCTGTGGACAGGAGTAGGAAAAGAAAGACTTGGGTTTGGATTCTAACCCCTGCAGTGGCCCAACCATGGGACCCTGGGCTCATCATATAATTTTTCTGAGCCTCATCATGTATCTGCAAAGTGGAGTTTATGGAGAGTATTCATGTATGAAAAAAACGTTCACATTACCTCTACCATGTAAGTTACAGTAAATGTTGCTGTGTTATTCTCCTGCAAATAGTACAGGAATTCATGTAGGGCTGGCCACATGCCCATCCTAGAATGAGTCCTGTGAGGATTCAGAAGAAATACAACACACATTCTTGATTTTTAGCAATAATTTCATGGTCCTGCTGGGAAGACAAAACTGAAACATGCTGGGTAATTGAACAAGATGATACACAATCACACTATCTTTGAGAACGCCTTCTTCCACAAGTCTCCCATCCTGAAGACCTATATCCAGTGGATAAGCCCCCGTTCTCATTCATCTTTTCTTACAAATTAAAAATTGTTATTATTATTATTATTATTATTATTATTATTGTGTGTGTGTGTGTGTGTGTGAGAGAGAGAGAGAGACAGAGACAGAGACAGAGACAGAGACAGAAAGAGACTCCGCTGTCATACACATGACACAGCGTATGTGTGGACGTCAGGTGACAATTTTTAAGAGTTGGTTCTCTCCTTCTATTATAGGACCCAGGGATCAACCTCAGGTCAGGTCATCAGGCTTGCACACAGGGAACTTTTTCAGAGCCATGCTCATGGCTCCCCATTCCCTTCTTGACTGTGCCTCCATTCTGAACTAGAGCATGGATTGACAGGGGTTTCCAGTGTGCCTCGGCCTCTTTCTTCTCGAATTCCCCTCCCTGTGTCTTCTGTGATGTTTCTGGCAGATGGTCAGGTCCTCTTTGATCTTGTTGTCGGATTGCTTCATGACTTGGTTTTGAAGGGTGGGTGGGCAAGTAGGAGAGGAAAGAACAGCAAGGTGTTCAGACCCCATAAATGGATAAGGAAACAAGGCTCATAGCAACTCATTTAGAGACAGGCTGATACAGCCTGGTAGATGGAAAACAGAGCCAGGTACTGTGGAACAGGTGTCCTTTGGGAGGCCCACAGTGTCTGGCTGATGTTCTCACCTGCCTGGAATGGTAGCTTGGCACTCAGAAGGCTGGTCTCTGTCCTGGGACCATCTTTTACCTGGAGCTCTGACGAAGGGCTGGGCCCCTCTTGTTGGGGTTGAGACTCCTTGTTTCCATGGAAGCCTGTGAATCACAGCTTTTGTTGAAGTGGCCAGACAGAGTTCAGGTCTTTACTCTGTTGCCAGTGTACCTAGGTCCTGGCTAGGTTGGTGCATGCTTGTCTTTGCCCATAGAAAGAATAAACATCTTTGTGTTCTTTGCTCCTCTTTATGTTAATCCATCTCCCAGAGGAAGGGACGCATGTTTGTTTCCTGAACACTGAGTAAACCGCAGAGCTCTCTGCAGAACAAAGGCTGGCTCAGGCAGTTCTCAGGATCCCATCGTGGCACATGCCTGTGGTGGGAATGCAAGCAGATGGCTTGGAGCTTTCCCTCTGAGCTACCTATGGCAACACTATGTTGGCATCTTCCTGGCCACTCCCTTGCATGCTTGTCTTTGCCCATAGAAATAATAAACATCTTTGTGTTCTTTGCTCCTCTTTATGTTAATCCATCCCCCAGAGGACGGGACACATGTTTGTTTCCTGAACACTGAGTAAACCGCAGAGCCCTCTGCAGAACAAAGGCTGGCTCAGGCAGTTCTCAGGAGCCCATCGTGGCACATGCCTGTGGTGGGAATGCAAGCAGATGGCTTGGAGCTTTCCCTCTGAGCTGCCTATGGCAACTAGAGGTTGGCATCTTCCTGGCCACTCCTTCTTTTCCCACACATCCTCCTCCTGGCACCCCATTTTCTGTCACTGTTGTCTTACTGTTTCCTGTCCACAACCCCCTCTTCTCCTGGGTAGCTCATTCACCTTCCTCTTCCCTCTCTGATTTCCCACCAAAGGCAGTCATTGATCACACTGGGTGGTCTCACTCACTTACATTGCAAACTAAACTGAGGCAGATAAATCTTTGACTTCTCTTTTTCCTTCACTGGTCTGTGACTTTTCACATGCACTATGACCTTCACTTAAATAAATAGCAAGTGCCCAGGATAGCCCACCTCCCAACACATAGGTCATTATCCTCTCTATTTGTATTCAGTGTGTATTGTATTTGTATTGTGTGTGTGTGTGTGTGTGTGTGTGTGTGTGTGAGTTGGAGATCTTGTGCATGATAAGCTTGCCCCCTTTCAAATCTCAAAACATATTAACCCTTTTATAAAATAGTATTTTATTTATTCTTTGAAAATTCTATTCATACATGTAATGTATTTTGATCATACTCCATACTCCTACTTACTCTTTTTTTTCTGAATTTTTCTATTTTAATTAGAAAGAAGATTATTTTACATGTTAATCCCAGGTCCCCTCTTCCCTTGCCCCCCCCAACTAACACCCTACCTATCCCATACTATTTCTGCTCCCCAGGGAGGGTGAGGTCTTTCGTAGGGGGTTTACAAAGTTTGTCATATCCTTTGGGATAGGGCCTAGGCCTTCCCTAGTGTGTCTAGGCTCAGGGAGTATCCCTCTATGTGGGATGGGCTCCCAGAGTCCATGCTAGGGATAAATACTGATCCACTACAAGGGGCCCCATGGATTTCCAAAGTCATACTTGTTTTTTTAATGGAGAACAAATTTTATTCTGAAAATAGATCTTAGTAATAACGAAGTACTAACAGTTGGCTATCATAATAGAAGGAAAGGGCACCAGGAGTTTGCTTTAATGTTTTTTCCTGAAGCACCTACCTACCTACTCTTAAAACTTTTCTTCTTTGCTTTCTACCAAGAATGTTTCTTTTAGTAATTGATTTATTTGGTAATTAGTTTATTCATTTACTGATGTGTGTATGTGTGGGTAACATGGGCATTCACAAGTGTGTGTGCAAGTGCACATATATATGCATATGTGCATATATGTGTGTGTGCTCAAGTGCATAAACGTGTGCTTATGTTCATGTGGCAGTCACAAGCCAACACTGGATGTTGTTCCTAAGGCACCAGCCACCTTATTTTTCAGACAAGGTCTCTCACTGGGACCTGGTGCTCACCAATTTGGTGATTAGGCAAGGCTTGCTGGGCGGCAAACTCCAGGGGGTTCACTTGTCCCAACTTCCTCTGTGCTGGAATTATAAGTGTGAGCTTCCTTATTGGTCTTTTTTAAGTGGGTTCTGGGGATTAAGCTCAGGTCTTTGTGTTTGTTTAACAACACACTTTACAGATGGCACTGTCTCCCAGGCCCTTGCTTTCTAATTTCTTTTGCAATGAACTAAAATCCAACCTCTAAGAAGCCTTCCCAATAAACCAGGGCCCAGCGCTTACTCTTTCTACCTGTCCTGTGGAATGCTTGCTCTTCTATGTATTGAGCTTTAGTGGTCTGGGTGTGTCTCTGACAGGTGGGTGCTTGATGGACGATGTCCTGTATATATGTTTCTCTTATTGTTTGATGAATGAAACTCTGATTGGCCAGTGGTCAGACAGGAAGTATAGGCAGGGCTTCCAGACCAGGAGAATTCTGGGGAGAAGAAAGGCAGAGAGATGCTGTGTAGCTACTGGGAAGATAGGATGCTTGGGCATCCTCCAGGAAGCCAAAGTCATGTGAAAATACATAGATAATAGAAATGGGTTAATAATTAAGAGAGAGCTAGCCAATAAGAAGCCCAAGGCATCAGTCAAACAGTTTCTAATTAATATAAGTTTCTTTGTGTTTATTTGGGGCGAAATTGGCTGTGGGACCAGGTGAGACAGAAACTCCATCCACAGGTACTTTTCCCTGAGATGTGTTTCCTTAAATCCTCAGTGAGAATGACATCAAGAATTTATCTGACAGAAGGGGTCTGACAGAAGGGAAAGACCTACAAATGCCTTTTTGCTCTCTGGCCATCTGGGCTTATTTGGGGCCTTCCTTGTGCTCTGGGGGTGTGGTGGGCCTGAGGACACTGTGTATTCTGGGATCCAGAGCTGAGACAGCTGGACCCTGTGATTTCCTTCATGCCTGCTTAGGCTGATTGCTGTCTTGAGGTCCTTGGCAGTATTGATTCCATTGACAGGCAGTGGGCTGACAACTAGGGATGAGTTGGGGAAGAAGATAAGAAGGCAAGGAGACAGGCCTCCCAGGGGTGAGGAGTTGGGGGTTGTACTGAGAGTTTTGGCCTCCAATCAAGTC